TCGGTTGACGTTGGAAAATGTCGATTTGATCGACTAGAGTGGGAAATCTTATGTAATTTCACTTCCAGTTAAGGCATTCAGAATAGTTAGACGTGACGACCTGCTTATTTTTTAACTGCAAAGCTGAATGCCTCTTAAATCGCCCAATACATTCCTTCACAATAGTGTCGAATCCCTGCTCTATGCGACTTCTCAGGACTGTGGGGCCGACTGATCAGCGGAAGGAGGCCAACCTACAGGACTGTACTCAGGGCTAGCGTGAAGCTAGGCGATTAGGTGCCGTACGCGAGCGCCGGTTCGAGTCACGCACGCAGTACGTATTTACTATAATTAGACGTAGTCTTTACCTTGCCGTTTATTCGGTGTTATTTGCTTACTTTACTTCCTATGTCGACAGCAACTATGAGTTAGTAAATATCGTATTTATTTTATTACCACATGTGCGCCAGCTGACTGTGACATGAGGCTTGCCGGGAACGAGCGCCCTCTGCGTGGAGAGTGCGTAGTATATATGTTTTGAGAAAGAAAAATGGCGACGCGAAAGCGGAAGAATTCAAACCCGGGAAATTCAAATGCCCAGAAAATGAAATTACATGCATCTAGCCACCGAGACTGGGACGTAGACGATGTTTGTGAATATCTGGCAGTGAATCAATTCAAAAATGTTACTCAAGTTTTTCAACGTAAGTTATATCTATGATATGTTGCATTGTTCAAGTACAAGTTGTTGAAAAGGAAATCACATCCCCGCGATTGTTACAATATCATAGAGGGTGTAAGTACAATATTAGGAGAAAAGCACTATTTGTGATTTGACACTAAGTTCAGTTTTGAATAACATAGCATTCCCCGGCGTCCATAACGCGGCAAATGATGGCTGAAGTCGGTGGTCAATACAACCTCGTTCAAGACTGTCAGACTAAACACCTCCCGGTGACTTGTTCCTGTGTTTTGACATGTTTTCGGTTTAAGGATGTAGTAGACTTTCGTTGGGCAAAACAGAAAAAGCTTGATAAAAAAAATAATAACAATGATTAATGACTAACAATTTTTACATGTTATTGTAGCCCTTGCAACACTTTATCCAAAAATTATAACACTAAC